AATTCATTCTGGGAACTTGACCCAGCTGGAGGAAGGACTCCAGCCTCCAGAAGGTACCCAGCATGCCTCCTGGTTGCGGTCCCATGTTCTTTCCCTTGGTGTGGGCTGACCGGGAGCCACTGATGACACTGAAGATGTTTTTTTTAAATTTTTCCCAAGGTCTCTTCCTCCCAGGGCTAACAAATACCAACTTAAGAGTGTTTCCTGAGCCTGGTTTGGCCTTCCCAGCTCCGCTCCACCACCCACATCCAAGCTAACCAACCCTCAGGCTTCACCACAGACTCCTGGCTGGTATCTTAGCAGGGATGCCTAGACTTTCCACTTGCTTTTTCAAACAATGAGCAGCCAAAATTGGTCTGCTTGAGGTTAGGCAGGCAGGGACCAGGTGTGAGAAAAGCTCCATCTAGGGATCTATAGGAGTCCTGGTATGGTGCTGTGGGTTAGTGCACTGGACTGCAAAGTCATCTGAACTGCAAGGTCCGGCAGTTCAAGCTTACCAGCCGCTCCTCGAAAACCCTATACAGGGTCACTATGGATCGGAAACAACTCAACGGCACTTGACAACAACAGGGCCCTATGATGAATTGTTACCTTCATTGTCATCATCATTCACCCACCCTTGTTCAAAGGTCTTCAGGACACAGATCTAGGACCTCAGCCCCAGGATCTGACACTCACAGTTATCCAGTGTCATCTTGGGATACCCTCCCTTCTTGTTCCTTATTCAACAAGAATGTGTTGTGCACCTACTGTTCCAGGTGCTAGAGAAACGGCTTGTGAACAAACTGAAAGAAGCGCTGTCTACAATGGAGCGCATTGTTTCAGCCACACCTGTAACGACCTAGGCTCCTGGTTACCTAGGTCTATGCACATACTGATCCATTCATTAGTCACCTGGGGACCTCTACTCATCCTCTAAAACCCCACCTGAAGCCTCCCTCAGCCCCTTCCCTAGAGGGTTAGGTAACCCCCTGAGCTCCCACCTTCACCTAGAAGTATCCCATATTTAGTTACCATTCAGCCCTACATCTGCCTCCCGATCCTGCTCATGAATCACCAGGGCAAGAGTTGGACCCCAGCACCTACCCTGGCCTGCACCCATGGGCACCCTCCCTAACACTCTGCCCCTGCAGCTCAGAGCTGGGTGGGTTGAGGCGTCAGGGCATGAGGGGTCCGGGGCCCCTTTGGAGAATTCAGGAAACCACTGCCTGGGTGCATCCTCCTCCTGGCATTCCAGTAAACCACAGGAGCCAAGGTATCGAGCGGCTTCAGCAAAGACAGAGCGGTGCAGGGTGTGAGGGCTGGAGAAGACAGGGACCATGACTGCAGGCTCAGAACAGGCCTGCAGGTATTGGGAGTAGTAAAGGGTTGTATGGAGCAGAGACAAGAAGGCAGCTGTCTTCATCCAGGTGAGCAGATGACAGGATGAGGATGTGGACAGGTGATAAAGCATAGGGTCAAGCGTACGTGACCTTCAGACTTATGAAGGTGGAGATCCTTCTGGACTCTCCAGCTTTGGTCTTTCCCTACTTTTCCCTCTGTGCTCCTCCTCCTCCCACTTGAAGTTGTATAAGGCAGACAGAACACCAGCCTGGTGAGTATCTGCGCAGCAGACCCTCCTCTATCTGGCCCTGCCTAACGGTCCTGCCCAATGGCTGTCAGACCATCAAGGAGAAGCGGGGAGGAACCCTGAACTTGGCTACAGCCTCCCAGTTGCCTCATTTCCATGGAATTTACATGGGCTCATTTCATGCCTCAGTACACATGGCTTCCCTCTGGGTGGGTGGTGGTGGGACACATGTGTTCTATCCCTCAAGTCTTCTCATTTAGGTCCAGTGGGGCACCAAGATCATCCCCCACAGGAAAGAAAGCAGCTATCAAGGTCCAGAGGTGGCAAGGACATCACTGGAGGTCACCCAGCAATCAAGGCGGGGTCAAAGATTGAGCCAGTGTCTCCACCAGGGCCTCTGTGCTGACGTTGTTTGGGTTGGGAGTTGGCAAAATAGACCGGTGCCCTTCAAGGCAAAGCAGATCTGTCTCAGAACTCGGAACAAAGTGCAAGAGGGGGCCCCACAGAAGTTCCGGTCAGCCCTTCCTTTTATACATGAGGAGGCTGAGAAGGCTCAGGACCACAAAGAGTAGTCTGTGTCTCTAGCCCAGGGATGTTCTGGGACCCCCAAACTCCCAGACACCTGATGTTGCTATAGTCACCCTGGAAAGCCCAGGCATATACAGCTGACTGAATGGGAGTAGCCTTGGGGGTGGGTGTGACTCCAGCCTTAACATGTCCTATTGGGGGTCCCCCAGACCTGACCAGACTGAGAAGGAACAGTCTTAAGTCTACCCCACACACCCCTCCAGCATCTCTGCTTAGGAAACCTTTCAGCAAACCCCCAAGAGCAAATTCCTATTGGAAAGGCAGGTAGGGGCATGGGAAAGAAGGAAAGGGAGAGGGGAGGAGAGGACATCTGGGTCTCACCACTGTCACCACCATTCATTCATTCATTTCAGAGCCACCACCTTGGTCTTACCCACCACCCCTCCAATTAATTTCCTAACTCTTAACTTGCCTGTAGCATCTCACACCAGCTCAAGTCTCACCCCTTCTTGCAAGTCCTCTGGGTACTAAAATTATGCGTCTTATTTTGAAGGAAGCTCAGTTTCTAAAGGACAAATCCACCTCCCTCCTCACTCTCCTGGGGTTAAAAAGCCAAGATCCAGGGTTAGCACATAAGCCCTCCCACTGGCCTTACCTGCAGGCACATTCCTTCTGCAAACAGCCTTGTAGGCTGAGCCCCCAAACCAAACCTACTGCCAACAAGTCAAGTCCAACTCATAATGACCCTGTACAGCGTTTCCAAGACTAAACTTTTATAGCAGACAGCCTCATCTTTCTCCCCCAGTGTGACTAGTAGGTTTGAACCACCAATGATGTGGGTGCAGTCAAGAGTAAATACCCATTTTCTTCTTCCAGTTGCAGGTTTCCTCTCAAGATCATCTACCTCCTACACGTCCAAACTTACCCCCACACATGCCCCACAGGTGAAGTGGAGAGGAGGTTACTTCATCTGGAAGGCAGAATTGGAGGCTGTTCCTAGCCTGACTTGACCACCCAGAAGTGGTGGGTGGTGGAGGAACAGGTCAGTTAGACCAGTTCCTAAGCTCTGACAACCATGAGGTGAGAAGGGCTGCCAAGACTCCAGGCATCAGTAGGTCGGGCACTGATCAGGAGCTATGGCTTCAGACCTTGATTCCTCTCACCAGCTGGGTGCCTTACTGAGCTTGTTTACTATCTGTTAACACAAGGAAAAAACAAACCAAACCAGCTGCCTTGGAGTCAGTTCTGACTCACAGTGACCCAATGTGCACAGAGCAAAGCTGCACTCCATCACGTTTTCAATGCCGTGACTTTTCGGAAGCAGATCACCAGGTCTGTCTTCCAAGGGACCATCTGGGTGGGTTCAAACAGCTTAACCTTCCAATTGTCTACTGCTTAACTGGTTGTGCCACTCAGGGCGGAGCTATCACAAGGGCATGGTAGACCCTCCTGAGCAGGCTGTTGGGACCAGTGAGGATGTATTTGAAGTTTGCAGCAAGCAGAGGTACTGAATAAGACACAGGAGCCACCACCCTCACTGCCAAGTAGGATGACTTTGCAGGCAAGGAGCAGGCCCAGGTAAATAAATAGCTCGTTTATTAGTAATATGTTACATTATTAAAGTGCATTGAGAAGAGATGCAGGGGCCGAAGCTGAAAGGCCACCGGCCCGGGCCCTGCCCTGGCCAGCCCGATCCAGCCGGAGAGGGACCCAGCTCTCTGCTGTAATCCATGGACAGGGCTGGGGGCAGGGCACCCACCGGAAGACCCCACCAGAATTCACAGTTTAGCCTAAGTTATAACATGTCCTGAGCTAAAGGTGGGAGGCTAGGAGCATGGAAGCACAACCCCTGGAGAAGGGGGCTGAAGGGAAGGGTGGGTACTCCCTGCTCCCCAACCCCCAATACCAAGGGCAGAGTCCTGGAACCTCCCCCTAAGGACCCGGCTCCTCCTTCTAAATGAACACCATGAGCTAAGGCTCAGTTTTCTCCTTCATTCTCCTGTCTCCCTCACCCAACCCCTCCCAAAGCCACCCCCCATACCGTCGGTCAGTGTCTATGGGACACTGGGGGACTTGGACTGTCCCCCTCAGCCTGGGCTCCTGGGGCAGAGCCAGCTCATGCCATTCTCCATGAACCCATGCCCACCTCTGGCCTCTTATCCCATCCTGGGAGCCTCAGACTGGGACCCCCTCCCACCCCTCCCCGAGTCCCTCCCTCTCCCCCCTCCCCAGCATGTAGTTTTGGTATTTTCATACAGATGCAGTCGGAAGTAGCTACACATGAAATAAGCCTAACATAAAAATAGAGCCTTTTCCGTCCTTCTGTCCGGAAAGCAAACATCCTTCAATAAACATGCAAGGCTGACCCAGGGGACCCAGGGCTGGCTCCACCGGGTGTCTATCCCCAGGGCTGGAGGGGACAGCTCTAAGCCTTCAGGAACACCAGCCACGCCCACCCATGGGACTAGGGGGTGGGGATTAGAGAGGCAGTTTTGGGTACAGAGAGTCCAGAAGGACTCAAGCCTCGGTGCCAAGGTTCCGAGATGGGGTCTCAGAGCCGCTTTACAACCTTCAGTTCCGGGTCCATGGGCTCGGGCTCAGAGAGCCCTGGCTGCATTTAGTCAAGTCTTAGACAAGTATTACCCAGAAGACAAAGTCTCGGGTCATAGGTGCCCCCAGCTTCACAGTCAGTGCCTTCATTCTGTGGCCTCCACCACCAGCCCCACCTGGGGCTCAGCAGCCGCCTGCGGCTGGACGTCTCCAGGCCCAGGGACCCCATCAAGGTATACAGTCTCCAGGAAGAAGAAAAGGGCAAGCAGTCCCGGGCCAATTGGCTCTGAGCGAGACGTTCCTAGCACCCTGGGGGCTGCGGAGGCCTGCAGCAAGCCTGACCCAGGAGGTCCTAGTGGGCCAGCAGGCTGAGGACTAGGGTAGGGAGGACCCCCAGCCAGAGGGAGTGAGGCAGAATTTGGGCATGACCCAGCAGGTGGGAGGCTGTGGCACCATCCTCGGGCAGCAGCTCCCAGTGCTGAGCCTCACGGAGGTAGGAGCCTTCAAGAGCTTCGCAGTGGTAATGTCCATGCTGTCGGGATGTGAAGTTCTCAATGAACAGGATGCAGTTGGGGCTCTGGTGGCCGGGCTCACAGCTCTGCTCCACGGTCTTATTGTGACGCCACGAGTAGGTGGCGTGGCGAGATTCCATGGGACAGCTTAGGTAGTAGCGTGAGTTCCGGGCCAGGGAAACCTTCTGCAATGGAGCCTCATCTGAGGAGGAAGGGAGAGGCAGCTATGAGGAGGGACCCAAGGAAGGCTCTGTTTCCCCCATCTGATCCCCATCCCCATCTCCAGGGGCAAAGCTACTAGATGAAACAGTAAACTAGAGCTTTGGTCTCCTGAGGTATTCCTTACCCCACCCCCTCCCACAATCAGCCCCACACACCCCAATGGGGCTCCAAGGGCAAGGCCACAGAGGTCCCAGGGAAGGGCCAAACTCAGTACCTGGCTTTGGGTTGGGACACTGTTTATGTGGCTCAGCTGGATTAATAGATTGCAGCATGGAGGACCTAGAAGCGAAGGAGGTAGGTTGAGCAGACTGGAGGCTATGACCCTAACCCTTTCTTCACCCCTAACTTCACCCAGAAGTATCACTACTGTACACCCAGAGAGGGGCTGGCCAGAACGGACCAGCACTGAGGCCTCCTGCATTCCTGCCTTCTCCCTGAGTCAAGGGATCCCACCGACATACCTTTGGGTACTGTAGATGGAGGCACAGCGGTCCTGGTACCAGCCACAGTAGGGGTCTCGGGCCATGAGGCAACCATGACAGCCCCCACTATAGGATTCACACATGTCCAGGGGTACCTGGGTGACCTCCCACTGGGAGCTCACATATAGCTTCCGCTGGAAGGAAAACAGGAGTTGGGGTCAGGCTGGGGCCCTCACACCCCCATCCATAAAGTCAGGCTGCTCAGGAAGCTCTGGGGCACAGAGGTTCCTCAAAGGACATGCAAACTGCATGCAAATGAGCCCTGTCTTCATCTGACCACTGATGGGGGTGGGGAGGCTTACCCGGTCAGTGTCCAACACCATGGCCTGTATGGCCGCGGGACGGTGGAAGGGCTGGATTTCCATGATGTTGAAGACAAGGCTGTGTTCCTGCTCCCTCAACTCCACCAACTTGTGGATGGTGCCCCTGTCTGTGGGTGATGGGCAGAGGATCAGTATTGAGAGTCCACTACAGAACCCAGGCAGCTTTCCTAGAGGCTGAGCCAGTCCAAGAAAATCATGGGGAGAGATATGGGTGGGGTGGGGTGCCTCTGCCTCATGTGAGGGTCACAAGACTGGGGTATGGTGGGAAGAGAAGAGCGTGACTGAGGAGGAATGTGGGAACCTAAGATAGCCGGGAAGCTTCCACGGCTACACCAGGGAGGCCATTCTAGGAGGCTCCGGGATGAGAGAGCCCAAGTTCACACAGGAAGCTGCAATGTGAAGAATGAACCCAGGAGTCTCACACACGCTAAGTCTTGCATCAAGCCCACTACCATGTTGGATCTTCCACAACCCTGAGGGGTGGGTGTTATCATGCCCACTTTGCAAGTAAGACAGTGAGATTCAGAAATGCTAAGCAGCTTGCTCAAGTCACAAAGCTGGTAAATGGCAAAGACCAGGCGGGAACCCAGATCTTTTAGAATCCAACTCCTAGGCTCCCATGGCTCCTCAGCTTCCTGGATTCTTGCTGTTGTCAAGTGCTGTCGAGTCAGTTCTGACTCATGGCGACCCTGTATATGGTTTCTAAGGAGCGTCTAGTGAGTTTGAACCACTGACCTTGTGGTTCAAACCAGCCTTGCAGTTCAGTGCATTATCCTGCTATGCAATACCAGGACTCCTTCCTGGGTTTTCAGGGGGTATGTTTTCTTTAAATAAACTTTTAATTTGGGAATCATTTTAGATTTACATAAAGGTTACAAAGACAGCACAGAAGGTCTTCGGATATCCTTCACCCAGTTTCCCCGATGCTAATATCTTACATAACCAGGGTACACTAAGAAACGGACTAAACTATAGACTTTGTTCCAATGTCACCAGTTTTTCCACTAATGTCCTGGTTCTGTTCCAGGAGCCAGTCCAGGATCCCACATTACATTTCATCTTAGAGCATAGTTTAACTTTTATAAAATCTTAGCTCTGAAAGGGACCTTAGACTCTACCTGGTTAATTTCCAAAGGGGAAATGACTTGCCCAAGGTCATATAACCAGGCTGCCTGCCTTCCAGGTACTCTTCCCTGAGTACTTGTGTCAAGGACTAATGGGCATCTTGACCCCTGGGTCCTTTCAGTCTCCCATGGCACCCTCTGTCCCAGTTTCTAGAATAGCCTCTCTCCCTCCCTCCCAATTTCCCAGGGCATCACTTGCCCCAAAAAAGCACAGTCAGATGATCACCTGCCTAGGAAGTCTCCTCTGTGTGTGATCCCCATCTGTAGACTCTGAGATGTGGCCAGATTCTCCCATCGCTGACAAGTCTCTCCCCTGCCAAAGTCCTCTCCTTACCCTGGTCACTGCCTTCACACACACACACACACACACTGCCTACTACCTCCTTCTTACATGGCCCTAGTCACAGCTACTCCTTGGTGAAACTCTTGGGAACTGAGCCAATAACTTCTCCCAATTATGAGAGCCTCCCATTCTCTGCAGAGGACTTGGGAAGTTCTATTTTTTATCTGACCCCAATCCTTCTTGCTGCGGGCTCTAAAATGGCTTTTCTCAAATGGCTCTCGGGGCAAACCAAGCCAACTATCCTTATCACACAAGTGCACTTGCCTCCTAAGTCTGCAGAGAAACGGGTCAGAGGCTCTCTCAGCCCAAGCCCAACCACCCTTGTCTAGTCTCCTGGCTTCCAGTCCTGTGATTCCCAATGCCTCACAGTCTCCCTGTTGTTGTTAATTGCCATTGAGTTGATTCCGATTCATAATGACCCTGTATAGGTTTTCCGAGGAATGGCTGCTGGGTTTGAACCACCAACTTCACGGTAAACAGTGCAAAGCTTCTCCTACAACACCACGTCGAGCTGCACAGTCCCCCGAGTTGTGACCAAAATAGCTAAGACTACTGTTTCTGGAGCTGAGCAAGGACAGAACACCTGGGTGCAATCAGGATTAAGAACCAGGCGTGTGTGTGTTGTGGGGGGAGAGGGGAGGGTCTCAGGACTGAGATCCCAGGCTCTGCTCCATGGGAAATTCCTCTCCCTAAGGCTTCCTGGAGCTCAAGCTTCCAATAAGACTGCCAAGCCAAGCAGCACGAAGTCACCCAGGAGAGCCTGAACAATCGAGGGTACCTGGGGGGCCTGAACTGTGTGGTCCCAAAGTTGCTGAGCACCCTGAGGAGACACCATCATTCAGTCTTAACGAAGGGCTGTAACTGCTGCCAACACTGGTGTCCTGCACCCACTCCTGAACTCCCCTTTGGACATAGCCTAGAACCAGGAAGCTGCCACACACCACCTCAAGGCTGACTATTCCACGTCCTATGGGCTTCTGCAATGCAGGTGCATCTCCGAGCTCATTCCATTCAGCCCCCAGGCTCAGCAAGACCCTGGTTCCCTCAGGAAAATACCACGAAGGAAAAACAGGTGCCACCCCAGTCCTAGTGTAGCACTGTAGGATAAACACTGGATTGCTAACTCCAAGACCAGTGGTTCAAACCCATCAGTTGCTCCTCGGAAACCCTATATAGGGTCATTATGAGGCAGAATTGATTTGATTGCACTTAACAACCCCAGTCCTCTGCAAAGACTGCTATCTTTGGGGCCGTCTTATCAAATGCTTCCAAGGAGAGACAGTCCAAAATCCTCACTCCTCTAACAAAGCCTAGAGGATCCCTGATGAGCAGCTCCCTGCTCCTGCCTTTCCACACCTCCTCCTACCACCTCCCCCACCCAAGTCAGACATGCAAACCAAAGTCACACCAGGCTTCAATTAAGACTCACCACCTTTCTGTCTCCAAATCCTGGTGAATACTCTCTCCCTTCCTAAGATGCCTTTCCCTTCCCTTTCTGCTCTAACCTCCTCCAGGATGCCCTCCCTCTCTGACTCCTCCAGTCACACACACTAACCCCTCTCAGGGCAGCTCCTCACCCGTGGTTAGGTAGAGCACATGGAAGGTCTCCCCAGAGCTGGCCTGCATGCGATGGACAACCACTTTCTGGTAGTGGTTCTTGGAGTGGAACAGTGGCGTTTTCCGAGGTCCCGTGGGTTCCACTCGCTGTGCTACCTCAGGGTGACTGTCAGCCACCTGGAAGGTCTCCGTGGGTATCGGCTGGTGGTTTGGGAGGCACTAAACAGGAGAGTGGGCTGAGTCAGTGGGGTGGTCAGAGATGGGGTGAGCACAAGTCTGGAATCTGAACCGTGGTGGTGGCCCTGCTCACCTTGCCGGGCCGAGGGCTGGGAAGGGCCATGTTGTAGTCCTTGAGCGAGGAGGTGCGGAAGACTTTGTCAATGTCACCAAGAGAATACACGCAGATGGCTGAGTAGTTCCTGGGGGGACAGAGACCCACCTCAGTGCCAGCTCCCCAGCCACGTCTCCCCTCACCTATGCCCAGCTCAGCACCAGACAGAACACAACCTCGGCCTCCAGGAACTATACTCAGGGCCTGCCCACTGCCGGGGCAGAGAGCAGATGTTCATTAACAGCATGGAAGGCAAAATCAAGGAGAGGAGGACAATTCAGGCAAATTTAACGTTTCTTTCTGCCGCAATCTAAAACCACAACCTCGCATTCCATTCCAGAATCACTGACTTCTGTCCACCCCAAAGCAGAAATCCCAATATGGGCATCCCCTGTTGGGTGCTCCTCCAAACTCTGTGACTCAGACTGGGGGACCCTGATGCCTGAAGGGGCCCAGACCCTACCCCCTCCCAGCCCCGATGGGTCTGCTCACACAGGAAACACAGATCTGGGTGGCTTTCCTCACCTGTCACCCACCTGTCCCCACACACACCCAACACTTTTGCCTGCCTTGTTTTCAATCAATGAGAGTGATTAAGAAGTGTGAATTATCGGGTGCAGGCAATACCTAAGCAGGTGTGATCACACCCAGCACCCCAAGAGGTGCCACAGCTCTGAGCACACACTAGCAGTGGGACCCATTCATGAGTGTGCATATGGACACAGGTACACACACCTGTTGTACAGATGTACAACCACAACAGCATACACTTCACTGAGCACTGACCCCCCACCCCCAAGTCTGCATTGAATTCCCCAAACAGCCCTGCTCCTTGGCCCCACAACTCAATCACACCACACTAGGCTCCTCTCATCAGGATACAAGCCCACTGATCCCAACTGGACACTTAACCGATGCCTGGATGAGGGTCACTCACCAGGGGTTGGAGAACACGCCATAGACCTTGGTGTCCTTCCAATCGCCACTGGGGTCAGGGAGCAGGAAGACGTCCTGGAGCCTGTTGAAGATTCTGTTGGTGCTTGTGTCGCTGCACACCAGCATGGCTTTCAGGAAGGTGTTCCACTTGGAGACGGACAGAGAGCTCTCACCACCCTGGTCCCCCTGGCCGGAGAGAGGGGAGAGGGGCTCTTCAGCACCAGCCCAGCTGCTAAGGATGCCAGCAGCCAGAGGGAGGCTTGGAGTGGGGAAGGGCCTGGCTAGGGGAGAAGCGGGGCTGCCATCCAAGCAGGCCTGGTTATGAGGCTGGCTCCGTCTGGCAGGCCTGCTTGACCCCGGGCTTGGGGCCAGTGGTAGGAACTCTGCAGGTAAAGGTACTGGGCTCCCACCAAGTAGACAGGCTCAGACCCTCTGACACTCATGACATGGACTCCCACATTCCCACAAAGCACATCCATGTAAATACAGTTCATATGCATAGACTCTCCTGCATACACTCCCACACACTTACATATGAGCAGCATGTGTGCACAGTACCATACATGTGCACAAACATGAGCACACACTCCTATTCACAGATGTACAGACACTCTTGTGCACACATGCGTAGACTCTCCTGCACACACTCTGACATACCAACATATAATGGGCATGTGTGCATACCATTATACATGTGCATAAACACAAGCAGATATACCCATTCACAGATGCACAGACACTTGTGCACATATGTGTGCTACCATGAACTCATACCCAAGCACACTTACACATGCTCCTTCACATACACACACACACACACACACACACACACACACACACACTTCATTTCCAGTCCTGCACAGGCCCACTGCTCACACACCCACTCACCCTGCACAGCTGAGCCACACGGGATACGTTTAGCGGGGCCTCGGGGTTCTTGTCAGGATTATCCTCCCGGAAGAAGTAGTAGATCCTGTCATTGTAGGGCTGGTCTTGCTGCACAATGGTGGCCTTGATGAACTGTGGGTCTGCCAGGGACATAGGCGAGTAGGGATGAGGCTGGGGCACCTACTCGGGGACCCACCCCACCCTACCCAAACTCAGGGCAAATCAGAACTGGAATGAAACTCAAAACATCAGGTCCAACACCCAAGGGGCCCCAGATGCTGCACGCCACCCTGTGCCTGTTTTGCCCTCCATCCACAAAGATGTCATTGGCCAGGGAGCAATGACTTCATGCCTGGGGACTAGGAGGAGCCCCTGGGGGCCCCTATGTCATATCTGCCTAATTGGCTGTGCCCTAATAAGGAGGGATGGGCTGGGCTGCCCTCACATGAGCTCAGCAAAGGGATCAACTTAAGCTCCCAGGGGTTGGGGCTTCCTCCGTGATTGTTCGCCGAAGGATCCAGCCAGCCCATCCTGCCTCCTGTTCTTCCCCTGTTCCCTGCCAACCTGAACACCCCAGATCTGCCTACTCAGGATATTCCAGCTCCCACTTTCCTGAATGGTCTCTGGCTGCAGTGGTCCTCAGGGAGACCCCCGCCTAGCACCCCTGCCCACCACCGCCCAGCTGGTAGCCCCGACTCACTCTGCATGACAGTATCACTTGTGTACAGTTCACTCTCACCCTCGATGCGGCGGAACCTGGGGATCTTCCCATTGTATTCCTGCTTCCGGATGGTGGAGTACACCTCCTTCTCTGGGGCAGTGAGAGGGGGCAGGGGTAAGGGCACACAGCTCCTAGAAGTTACTCCTTGGGGCTCAGCAACAGGACAACAGCCAGAGCGACATTCCCCACCCCCAGGCCCTCCTGCCCCAGCTGCAGCCCTACCATGAAACAGAACCAAGGAGTTCTCATCTGGGCTGAAGGGCGCATAGCCTCTCTTCTCACCAAGGGACTCCACAGTGTCATTTACCTGAACGAGACCAAAGCGATCAGATAGCCCCACGATCCTAGCCTCAGAATCCCCCCCACCTAAGCCAGAGGGAGCTGACTAGGCACATGGGCAAGGGCAACTCACCAGGCGCCAGCAGCTGGGATGCCGGGCATTGGTGCCGCAGACCAACAGTCCCTTGTCCTGCTTCTCCAGAAGGGTTATGTAGTTCTCACAGTCCTGGGCGGGAGGAGATAGCAGATGGAGAGAAGTCAGTGGTGGAAGGCTCTGGCAGGCCTACCTCTAGGACACAGACTCGGGCTCAAGCACTGTAAGCAGCTTCCAAGGGGAGGCCAGCGGGGCTGCAGCTGATTCTAGCCACACAAGAACACAGGGACGTAGAAGCTTCCAAAGAAAAGACATGTCTCTCCTCTGAGACTGGGAAGCCCCAAGACAGGGCCATGCCTCCCCTCTCAGCCAGCCAGCCAAGCGTCTCCCCTCCCTCCCCACCCCGTCAAACTTCCCCACCCCCACTCACCTTCTTGTCCTGACAGGACCCCTTCGTGGAGCCAATGTTCACCTGGGGTGAGGGGGGAGAAGCATGAATCCACTCAGCTGGGAGCGAGAATTCCAGCCACATTCTTCCCATGTACCCACCCCCAGGCCAAGCCCATGATAGAGCCACCGGCATCCTGCTTAGTGGGCCTTGACGCAGAGAACTCAGAAGACAGGGGTCAGAGGATTATGGACCCAGCTTCCTGACAGTGGCCCCCCATCAGCACTGCCCCCTTCCAATCGGCAAGTTTTAGAGGACCTCCTCCAAGGACCAGTTATGGAATATGGTTGGGGGTAAAATGCCAATTTCCTCGGAGTCCCTGGGGCTCCAGACCAGAGAGGAGAGGTTAGGGGGCTAGGGGATTCAGCCATCTCACTAAGGGCAGCAGAGGGGGGCTCACCGTGCGCAGTGTGGTGTTCTTGCCCTCAGGGAAGTCGAAGAAATACACCTTGCCTCGTCCACCTACATACACAGAGGAGCTGCCCAGTTCGTGGAAAAGCACCGTGTGTGGCTCGATCTGGTCAAATCTCACGTGGTCCTGTCCTCGACCTACAGAGGCAGCAATGTAGCAACAGTGAGGCCAGCCAGACCTTGAGGAGAGGAATCTGGATCCCCCAGGCACACCAGTCCCCACAAAAAGAAGTTAGGGGACCCTAGGTGCAGTGCAGTAATCTGCAGTTCCCATCCCAGAGCTGTGGCTCCTAGGATGGCAGCTTCTCCCTTCCCAACAATGTGACTTCAGGATGGGGCAGGATTTAGGGGCCCTGGAAAAAACAGGGAGTCCCTGGGTGGTACAAATGGTTAATACGCTCAGCTGCTAGCTGAAAGGATAGCGGTTCAAATCTACCCAGAGACGCTTTGAAAGAAAGGCTTGGTGGTGATCTCCTTCTGAAAAATCAAGTCACTGCAAACCTTATGGACCACAGTTCTACTCTGACACAAACTTCACAGCAACTGAGGGGAGAACACACCCTCTCTCTTCTGTTTGTAAGGGGCACCACACCCCTCAGCTCCACCCCAATCCACCTCTTTGGCTTTTTGAGTCTCTCAGCTGCCACAGGGCAAACCAAGCAACCATCACTACCCCCCTGCAGCCCACAGGGCACCCCACTTTAACAAAAAGCCCAGGTTCCTAGAATCCCATCCCTTCCTACAAAAAGCCCTCCCGACCCCTCCTTGCTCACGACCCCTCCTTGCTCACTCCTAGCCCTTTAGTAAGCGCTAGTTCAGAGGTGGAAAGGAATCTTAAGGTCCACTCCCTCCCATTTCACAGCTGGGAAAACAAAGGTGAAGAAAGAGGCAGGGATCAGCCCGAGGTCACACAGAAGTAAATCAGTAGTAGGGATTGAACCTGAACTCCTACACACACAGGCAAGGTTCACTGAGACCTTCCTCAGGAAGAAAGATCAACTCAATCCTCAGTCCCAAGGAGTCCAGGGACAGGGGGCCCTTCACAGAGCACATTCTGGCCCTTTAAGCAGAACAGCTGACCAGGACAATTCTGCCCAAAAAGGAAACTGTCTACAGCCACTGCCTCCGGGGAGAAGATGTCTTGTCTCTGGTGACATTGCTGAGGTTGTCCTGGTTATAGGACTAAATTACAGGGAGGGGACAGCCTGTGGCTATGCCCCCAGCAATCAGCCATAACCAGCATCCTCCCCACCTCTCACCAGCCTGGGGGTGTCACCCCGGAACTCAACTGACCAATGTTTTTTCAGCTGTGGCAAACTCTAGGGCAGCTAGCTTGGCAGTGACACCGAGGGAGGACACAAGCCAGCCCAGGTGGAAAAGAAGTGCCATCTTCTCAAGTCTGCCTCAATCTCTCTTGCTGCCACTTGAAACCACTCCTCTGGGACCTGCATTCACTGGGGGTGAGGGTTTCACACATCTAATCTTATGCTAGAGTCCTGAATGACAGAGAGCCTAGAAGCCAGGGGGCATGGATCATTCACTCCTCACCTGAGCTGCAGCCTGGCTCAGGGCACAAAGCAGGAAACTGAGCCCCCCTGGGGGGTACAGCTAGCCAAGGTCACACTCTGAGACAGGGCATATTGACTCCTCAGACAGGGCGCTTGGGGAGATACCAGTACACTAGCCAAGGAAAGATGTGCTGAGCTCACTGCTTTCTGACGTACTTGGCTTTTTGGGGGGGGGGGGGGCGCACTCTGGGCAGACCAAGGAAAGTCTGGGACCCCTGGCTCGCTCCTGTCAGTCCTGGATGTGCAGGGCAGGCGTCAAGAGCCCAGCTCAGTGCCGGGGATATTGTCCAAGGCTGGACAAAGTGAACAAGTCCCAGGCTCCAGGCTCTGACCACTGCCCTGCCCCCACTTTCCAGAGGGGTAAAATTAAAGGATTGCAAGGTCAGCAGGTCTGCAGCCACCTGGCCTTCCTGACTCAGCTCCCATGGCTCCCCTTTTATCCGCAGCCTGGGCAGGGCCACCTCCCCACAGTCCGGTCTGGAATCTAGACAGTCTGCAGCCCTGGCTTCCCTTCCTCTCCCCCACACCAGCCACCACCAGGAAAAGCTGCAAGTCTCCATCTAGAGGTGTTATGCTGGGGCCTCAGATGATGGAAAATGGGGGGACCACACCCCTTAGGCAACATTGGCCACCTCCAGCAGTCCCCTAAGCCCCACACCTCACAGCAGACACGAGGCTGTCGGCACCAAGGTACAATTCTACTCCTGAGGACAAAGGTTCCAGACGGGAAGGAAATCTAGAGAGGACCTTTGTCTGAGGGTCACAGGGCAGTCCAAGGGAAGAGACTCAACCCTGCCCTTGGGAGCCAAGTCTGATGGAGGACACCTGCCCTGGCCCTGGAAACAAAGGTCTAAGGGGACTAGACCCTGGGAACCAGTCTGAGGGAAAAACCTGCGCAGCTTTCAAGCAAATCTGTCTTGGTATGGCCCCCAGGCCTGCTCACAAGTATTTGCAGAATGCACAAAGGGAAGGTGAGCCTGGGTAAGCTAGCGGCTGCAGCAACACCAAACTCAAGACAGAGCTGCAGGGATCTGCAATCTGAGCCCAGGTCCCCTCAAATGCTGGCTGCAGACTCGGGGTGGGGGTGACAGGAACTGATGGTTCCATTTTGCAGAAGAACAAACAGGAGCCAGAAGCATTGTCTCCTGTGACCCCAGGCTCCCACCCGTCCCCTCCCCTCCCGGTCTGATGATGTGTATGAGGTGCAGGGGGGTGGGGGAGGCAGGGAGATGGCACCAGATCAGCCCCAGGACGAGGTCTTGGCCGGTTCTCCACCCTAGCCCCAATCCCAGCCCTGCTCGGTTCCCGCACTGCCTGAAGCACTCAAAAGGCCTGATTGTGCCCGGAAAGTGTCGGAGCAGCAGCAGCCATGAATACATGAAAGGAAGCTTTGTTCCTGCCGGTCCAGTGGGGGCTGGAGGCGCAGGGAAAGGAGGGCTGCCTGGAAGTGAAGGCAGCACCAAGTCATCCCAGCCAGGATCGGGGGGTTCAGTGGGATCTACATCAGGAGAACCGGGCCAGAATAGGGGATGACCTTCAAGATGCTCCCCAGACAGACACTAAGCAAGGCCCGGAGGCTGGCCGGCGAGAGAGCAGGTGTCCTATCCCTGATGCTTGCTTTCTGCCACATTGTGAATCAAAAGGGAGGGGAAAGAGGATAAAAGCTAGATGGCCAAGAACAAGGCAGGTGAGAATCCCAGGCAGGGAAGCAGCCCGAGCAAAGGTGGGAGGCAGACGGGATAGGAGAGAGGCCACATGCTACAGTGAGAAGAACAGGAAGGTGGGCTGAGGCCCCTGTGTGCTGGAGGCAGGCGACAGACCAAGGGCATGTGGCTCCTGAGAGCATGGCCAGCCTTGGGAACTGCTGTCCCTCCTCTGGCGTCCCTCGTCCCCCACTCCCACACCTCCCTGCCTGACCAGCTTCCCATCCTGCGTGTCTAAAAGGAGCACCGTCTGGCACCGTATCTCCCCCCTCACTCCCCAGCCTGACGCATTAGTGGCTGACTAAGTGGTAGCTAAAAGCTCCCAGAATAACCAGGGGTTCAGGCAGGGGTGGGGGCTAGGGGCACATGGGGAGGGCAGGGCCCCAGAGGTGAGCCAGGCACAAGACAACCCCACCATCACCTCCATGTGATCCTGAGCCAATCTCCCTCTTTCTGGACTAAGAGAGACACTCAGCTGGACTCCATGTCCACATCCTCCTCCCAAGGCAGGACCAGTAAGCTAGCCCAGGCTACGTATGGGGGTGCAGAGGTTAGCTGGGTTGTGGGAAACAGTTCACCCAAGACACAGCCCCAGGCGTTGGTCCCCATGCATCCAGTAGCCAACTGACCATGCAAGTCCAGACCTCCATAGGGAGGAAATTCCTAAAGGCCTACTGGTGGCATCAGCCCTCCCTTCACTCCTGGGGGCATTGTCACTGCTGCCCCACATCCTCACTGACTGTAAGAAGAGGACCGCCCCAGAGCAGGGTCAGTCGGAGTCAGGGCTGGAATGGGGTGGGAACGTAGCAATGGTTGTGGGAGGGGATAGCGCTGCCTGCCAGGCAGCAACACGGAGTGGGCCCTAAGGCCTGGCCTGAGCAGGGACAGCCTTCCAAACTGACCCACTGACCTCAATGAGCCTTCTGAAAGTGGGTAGCGAGCCTCTGGGAATGAGAGGAATTTGGGAGCCTACCAGGGAGGAATGCTTGAGTAAGGCAGCCAAGGAGGATGCAGGGCAAGTAGCAAGGACTACATCAACCCAAACACATCTGGCAGCGCCTCCTCCCAGAGCTGAGACCCACCCACCTCACACCCTACCAGGCCACATACTTGGTGAGGGAAGAAGAGGGAAGACCCACATGGGGCCCAGGAATGAACCTATAGCCTTTCTATCCTTTGGATTTCACACCCACGGGTCAAGGTGGAAGGGAGGAAGGCTGAACCATCTCTGAGCTGGACCACTGACCCAAAGGCAAAGAACAAGGGCAGCAGAGACCTCACCAGGGCCAGGGCTCGGGATTTCTGGTCCCCATGACTTAATTCATCCTTCCAAGGACCACATTCCACCCTGGACTTCTAAAGGGTCCTCTAAGTTTACAAAGAGCTGCCTAGACCCACGCTTCTCTACTTCCCCGTGCCACCATCTCCTCTCCACTCCTTTCCCTTTGATCATAGGCTTTCTAGGTGACAAATCCCTAGTCTGATCATTGAAGGAACTCACTCTTCTATCTACCTTCCGGGTGGGGCTCCTGATCTTCCAGTGACTAACACCAGGTAAGTCAGGGTGGTGGAGGGAAACCTTTCCAATGGCAAATGAAGAAATGTTTCATCGGGTTTGTCTCTCCCCATGTGGTCAAGTGGGAGAGGTCATTCCTCGTATTCAGTTTGCAGGGTAGAGCTAGACAACGCTACGATGGGCTTTCACTGCCGTTTGGAGTCCTGGCAACTCTCAAGCAGGACTAGGTTCCAGCCATCGCCTGGCACGAGTAGGGACAGGTGGTGGGGCCCTGAGGGAGGAGAGGTCTGCCCCTTGTTATCAGCCATGGGAACTGCAAGCTGGGTCAGACCAATGTATCCTCCCACTCAC